GAGGGCAGCTGTATCGGCGACCCCCTCTGAAGCTGGAACCAAGAGGGCGGCTGCTTCGGCGACCCCCTCTGGAGCTGGAGCTGGAAACAAGAGGAGAGCTGCTTTGGCGACCCCCTCTGGAGCTGGAGCTGGAACCAAGAGGAGAGCTGCTTTGGTGACCCCCTCTGGAGCTGGAGCAGGACCCAAGAGAGCGGCTGCTTCAGCGACCCCCTCTGGAGCTGGAGCAGGACCCAAGAGGGCGGCTGCTTCGGCGACCCCCTCTGGAGCTGGAACCAGGGGGAGAGGGGCGGCGTCCTCGCCGAGCCCCTCAACGACAGAAAAGTCCAGGAGCAGGGAGAGGGCTTTGGTGGTCCAGCCAAGCCCTACAGGACCAGAGGTAATTGCCTCTAGCGGCAGGATCTCGTCGGCACACTGTAGACCTGGTACCCTGGCGGGGACACTGTTAGGCAAACTGCAGGGGTCTAGCAGGGGGTCTATGGTGTCCTTCAGGGGGGCCAACACCAGTCTTTCAAAAGACTTCATAACTACAGATGACAAGGCAACAGGTCTGTAGGTGTTCAGCCCACTGATGGAAGTTTTCTTGGGGACCGGGATGATGGTGGAGTTTGTTTGAAGCAGGAGGGGACTTCACACAGCTCCAGTGACCTGTTGAAGATAAGTGTGAAGATGGGGGCCAGCTGATCAGCACACACTTTCAAGCAGGAGGGGGGTCACACCATCTGGGCCTGGTGCCTTTCTGATCTTTTGTCTTTTAAAGAGGCCACACACATCCTTTTCACAGATCATTAGAGGTGGGGGGCTGGAGGGAAGGGTGGTGATTGTCAGGGGAGCAGCTGAGGTGGGGAGGGTGAGGGGGGAGTGTTGTTTGTCAAACCTGCAGTAGAATACATTCAGGTCATCTGCTAGATGACGGTCCTCCGCAGCAGGGGAGAGTTAAATTCACGAGGAGAATAAAAAGATTTGTAATTGATAACAAGAGTTTCTAAGTTTGTGTTAAATGTCCTCTGTAGCACTGTGACTGTTATGGTTTGTCCCCCTCACCAGGCGGGTGAGGGAGAGCTGAGGTTGGACTCAAGATGGCTGGCCCAGGTGCTAGTACAAAAAAGGAGGTTTAATGGAATAAAAACACAAAGTAACAACATAACATAGGCAATAAATAATACTAAACTAGAGTATGGCAGAAACGGCTGAAACCAGGAGAGCAGCAGGATATGGACAGACAAGTGGAAAGAAAACAAAAGAAAACCACGCACAGGAACTGTCAGTGTGGCAATCAAATAACGAAACGGTAGTGATGGGTCCAGCAACACTGATGCGTCACCACATGCGTTGAGCTCGTAGAGCAAAATCCCGTGTCACTTTAAGAAAGTAACGTGACCAATACAGGAACTGTTTCGAACTGACACTGCCGCGCCAAACTGTGTTTATAAGGAAGCGCATTTGTCAACGGGATGCATCTGCCAAAACAAATCTCTGATCTTTTGCGGTTCATCATCACATTCATCAAGAATTATGAGGCAGCCTCAAGCCAAAAGAAAGGTTTCCGCCATGTGGGACCATTTTGATCTCATATCGGAAAATAAGGTATTTGTTTTAATTACCTTGTTGTTTCATCCTGTTCCTCTCAGAGTTCCCACTTGATCTATCTGAATTCAAATTCATTTCAAAGTGACTCTGAGTTTACTATTCATATTATTTTCTGCAGGTTAAATGTCGCATTTGTTCGACAGAACTTTCCTACTTAAATAAATCCA